CCTCCAACGTTTCTCATCAGAACTTGCTCATATTCCAAGACTCAGCAACTTTATAACCTTGAAGGACAGCCTCTCTCTCTCTTCACTGGGCAGCTGTACAGTTAAAGAGTTTTTTTCATATATACTCTATTTTTATCTGTTGGTCTTAGCTCTATGCTCTGGATTCACAGAGAATAAGTTCATTATGTCTTCTGTGTGAATCCCGTAAGCATTTGAAGGCAGCTCTCCCGGCCTCGTGGAGTCCTCCCTCCCTCTGAACACAGTCAGACACACTCTTGTGCATGTACTGCTTCCAGCCCTTACTGCAGAGGACTCCTGCTTCTGCACCATTCAGCAAACCTCCTCTGATCTCCAGCTCCTTATTCTGCCTTTCTCTTCTCTCTCTGTAGGTGTGCAAGGTCTCTGTCCCCACCCACACCCTCCAGTCAGTGCACTGTCAGCCTATTGATGAGTGTGGCTTCTGCATCAAGCAGCCGATAGCAAAAGAATCACCTACCCAAATCAACAAAGACATCAAACCCCAGCATCAACTCACTCTAGTATGGCAGAGAACACTGGACAGTTCAGGTAAGGCTTGGTGTCTCATTTCTGAGGTTTGATAAATGCTAAAATGCGGGATACAATGGTTGCTATTGTGCAGGATACCTGAGGTTGAACTGTCCCTAGGGAATGGGCCATTAGTCTCTTTCTGCATCTGCAGGCTGCACACACCACACACTGGCTTCTCAAAATGGATGGGGCGTGTTTACTGTGGAGGATGAGCATTGCTGTTGATTATCTCGGATGCCTTTATGTTTCTTGCTTCCTCTATCCCTCCACTTTTCTATTCAGAACTTTGTAATGTCTTTTGGAAGTCCCATCTTGTCTCAACTCTACAAAAGGAGGATGGGAGAGCTTTTCTCCATGCTTTGATTTCAGCATTCAAGGGGATGCAGCTCCCCTTAAATAGGAAGGTGGTGATCATGTGGCACATGGACTGAAATAACTCCAAGGAGGGTTTAATAAGGGAAATACAGAGTCACTCAGTTGCTGCTTCCCAGTTCTCCATTGGATGACTTCCAACCCTTTTGGGTCCTATGCAAGTTGAACTGCAAATATGTACTTGGAAGGGTAACAGTAGGCTGTTACCATCCACCTAAAGAATTTAAAGGAGGCTCAGTAACAAAGGGAATCTACAATGCTGGCAAAAGCCTAGCTTCTGCGGAAGAATGGGGCTGATTAGAATCAAACCTTGCCTTCCTTATGCAGTAGCTGGGCCACGCACAGGAAGTGGTGATCCTGAATGAGGCTGTCCTGTGTGACCAGGGCCCTGAGTTCCTGCAGGCACACCTGGCATCCCATGAGCCACCAATACCTTTTTGCCTAACAGTGTCCATGAAGTGTGCCTGTTCTTATGTAAAGTGTGCATTGCTTTAGTTCATCAGATAAAGGTTTGTTAAGCTTCCCTGGAAAGTATGAGAATATTTATTACAACATCCCCCCCCAAAAAAACTCCCTTTCTAGGCAGATTCACAAAGAAGTACCTGAATAAAGGATAAAGGAACTAATCTGGAAAAGTGGCTGGTAAACTGGCAGACTTGGTGAACATGGAATATTTCCTATAATGTCAGGCCCTAGGTGTGACTAAGGAATGAAACTGGACATTGATCTCTGAGAGATCTTCTATATTCATTTCATAAAGTCAGAGACTACATTTAACCTAATCTAATAGAAGCAATGAGTGTTCTGGAGAAAACACATGGAGTGACTTTCAGGAATTTTTTATGACAAAGATATATGTTTTTAAAAATCAGATTTGCTTTCTTTGAGTCAGCAATCCTCTACTTTGGGGAGAGGCTGTGGAAGGAGGAGGGGTAACTGATACAAGCTATAATTCAGGAGGGTGATACACGGAAGGTCAGGCAGGACAGGATGATGTGTGAGATCATGTTAGAAATATCACCGGATTCCTTCGGGAGTTGTAAAGGTGTCTTAATTCTTGTCCTTGCCAAACATCTTATAATAGTACGACAAGATTTTATTTATTATCACAGTCAAATTGGACTCTCATGCTCTGGATAGGCCATGGGTGTGTGATGTCAGTCATAGCTCTGACAATTATCAGAATGGTTGTTAGGTTATTAAGTCAAGGAAAGGATTCCAGATGAGACTCTCCAAAGAAAATGCCATTTTCTTCCAATAAAAGTACCTGTTTGCTTTTATTGGGCATCTAGTTGGTTTTCCATGGAAAGGGCCACATATTTGTGCCTACAGCAAGGAAAGGAAAGGAAAGGAAATATTCTGTTCTAAAATCAAGCTTCCCTGATGGGATGAACACCTTAATTTTTGCCTAATTCTGGTGTATTTTAATTCAGAGTGATTTATGCATAGTGAACCTTTAAAAGGAAAGATTATAAAGTATGTAAATATACATTTCTACACATTAATATATGCCTATATTTATATCTGCCTTTATAGATATGACTAAGTGTATAAAATATACATGTTATTAAATACTTAGGGTCAATCTTCTATCTTCTGATTTTTGATGCAAAGATAGATCTAGCCTGTCAGATGCAGCCATGTCTATGAGAAAACAGACCCTTTGGGGAGAAATGAACAGCAGTATTTGAGGACCTAATCTACTCTCAAGAAACGGTTCACCAGAACAGTTGCTTCAATGTGTTTCAACCAAATCATTTTATATTTAACCTAATCATTTTTATATTTAGCCTATTTATTTTAATCCATCAATTTTAATTTAATTACATATTTAACCTATTTATAGCTTCCTAGCATAGTCCACTTGTTTGACCAATAATCATACCTACTTATATTATACATAAAATAAGATTAGACAGGTTCTCAGAGGCTCATCTTTGAGACAAATTTTAGTAACCCACAGTTAAAAATAAGGGGAAAAGAGAAATTTTTAGGAATAAGTTTTATAGTGCAAATAAAACATGGCCTAAAAATGCCAAGAGAAAAATGTATATGTTCAAACTTTAAATAATCTCAAAAAATGGAAAATGTTAAACAACATATCTAAAAAGTTGGTTTCTAATCCCATATCAGAATACCCTTAAAAATTAAATCTCAAATAAGAAATCTATATTAATGTAGCTCTGTGGGAACATGGAGAATGTTGGTAATATTAATTGTAAGACAGTATCTCTAGGGTTTTAAAAACATTTTTGCCCAATTGTTGGGGTTTCTAAACAGATAGCAAAGGGGAAAACATTTTATCATTTAAGATTTGCTGAAACAAATCAAGATCCTTTTAGCTTCTTACTTCTTGGAGATGCCTAAAGGGAGGCTATTGTTGATAAAATATGACGCTCAATTATAATTAGCTGAACAGGAGACAGAGAGGCCTCTCTAGTTAAACCCCAATTAGAGGACACAGCTGATTTTTCTTTTTCTGTTTTAACTGCAGGCCCCATCCCCCATCTTAGTTTAATGCTCCTCTGAAAGGCACTTTAAAACACAAAAGTATATTTAGGAACAATGCACTTTTTTAAACTTTTATTTAATAAATATAAATTTCCAAAATTAAGGTTCTGTTATGGTCATGTTATGAGGAGACTTGGCTTTGATTCCACAGTGTGTTCCAGTCTTCATGCTCCTTTGGCAACTCCACATGTTTTCCTAAACAGTAGCTTGTAGAACAAAATGGTTGAATAATTTGGCCCTGGGACATACTTTAAGCACACTCACGCCTGGCAAGGGCATGTAATAGCTACAATTTAACAATTCACCAGACAAAAATGAGCAAGCTACAATTCTTGGTTCTCAAATTTTTAATAATTAATGTGAAAAAAAATGAAAATGAATGCCACTTTTGTGGTTTTCAATCAAATTAGCAGTTTCCATATTAGGACTTATTATTTTCCAAAAGTCACATGGTCTGGTCTGTACAAAAGTTTGTCACACAATCAATCATTAACAGGTTTGCCATTCTACAAGTGTTTATGTATACAGAGTTTAATCTGTAAGATGAAATGCAGCAGAAATGTATATTACAGCCTAAACAATTTAGCTTCTGACTAGTGAACTGAGATTTATATTGGATTATGTTTCAAAATAAAAGTGAATCACCCAGGAAATAATCATTTATGGCTAAAAATTTAGCATTTTAAAGTCATTAATAACTCCTGTGTTTGAATAATTAGATAGTAACAACTATATAACAACTTTCAGTAACAACTGAAAGAGTTTTGGAGCAACTTGTATGAATAACTGCATATTTTACATTTACCAGAAAACTTTAATATAAATTAATATAACTTATATAATGTAAAATTTAATATAAATTATTGAAATACCTGCTTGCTCATATAAACAATGGGTAGTTTTGATATGTTGCTCAAATATCCAAATACATTAACAAAAAAGGATGTACAGGCATATATAATGAGATTTCTTGCATTACGTTTATTTAAATATCTGGGAAAATTTGTTAGCTGTTGATCTTTACTTTTGGACAACTCACTGATCATTCAGTTGTCTGCATGTTCTAGCCAAGTTGCTCTAAGTGATGTGAGAACAGGGAAGGTAATCTAGCTGAGGTTTGCACTGGCCTGGAGGGAACATCCTTGTTAAGGGCATTGAGCTGAATCAAATGGTGTCAAGTTGACCACTTACCTGTTGTGTTAAGACAGGGTTCTCCAGGGAAACATAATCAACAGGACATAGATGGATAGACAGAGGTAGATGGGTAGATAGATGTAGACAGACTTACAGAAAAAGATTTATTATGGGGCAACGGCTTCATGAATTATGGAGGCTGAGAAGTCCCACCACCTTTCATCTGCAAACCACAAGCCCACAAAGCCTGGTGGTGTGGTTTCAGTCCAAGCTCAAATACCCTAGAATGGTGAGCCAGCAGTATAAGTCTGGAGGTCTAAGAACCAGGAGGGCTGATAGCGAAGGGCAGAAGAGGATGGATGTCTCCCTTCCTCCTTTTTTTTTTTTTTTTTTTTTTTTGGTTCTATTATTTGTGCCCTTGACAGATTGGATGACACCCACTGCCATGGTGAGGGTGATCTCTACTCAGTCAATTGTTTCAAATGCTAATCTCTTCCAGAAACACTCTTATAGGTAGACCCAGAAACAATATTTTACCAGTCATCTGGGCATCCTTTATCCTGGTCAAGCTGACACACAAAATAAACCATCAGACCTGCTAATGCTCATGAACAAACTTCGTCTCATTTGTCCCTCAGTGTCTGATATCAAAGGTCATTGCTACAGCTTCCATCTGCAGTTGGCTAAAGGAATATCATGAATTTTAAAACTCCAATTATACCCTTAGCCCACTGGAGCAGGGTCATATATAAAGAAAATGTGAAAAGATTTCAGAAAGATCGTGGACAAATGGAAGTAAAGGAATTTTCCATGCCATGAACTTTTCGAATCCTCCCTTCTCCCCATCTCAAACAGGAAACCATCTGTTCCTGGGGTTGTCTACCCTCTGATAGTTGTTCTGAGTGTTCCTCGCCCGGGTCAAGGTCCTTCTAGTCGGGCTTGCTCCTGTCATCCAGGGTGAATGCTGGCTGGGGACGCGTGGAGGCTGGCGCTGCTGGTGCTGCTAGCCTCGGGCTCACAGTGCTCTTGCTTGAAGGTTGTCCTTCAGCGTCTGCAGACAGACGCTCTGGGCCCTGGCTCCTCTGATCTGGACTTCCCTGTCCTTCCCTCGGCCCCTGGGAGTCTATGTCATCTTCACTTCCCTTTACTTGCCAAGCTGCTTCTCCCCTGTGGCTGCTCCCTGGCCCCAGGTTTCCAGAGTGTATAGCAGCAGTGTGTGTCTGAAAAGGAAGTCCAAGTCTGGAAAATCAAGTGAAGAATGGGTTGTTAGAATGAGAATGCTTTCATTTAACTTCTGCTTAAATGTGTAAAAGTCCTTCAATGTTCTTGATGTTTGCAGATGTGTTTTCAGGAAAACAGGAATTGCAGTTAGAGGGCAAAATGCACATATTTCAGCAATACATGCAGGAATAAATTTAGTCCTGCCTTGGCCATGGGTAGCACTTTTCCCCCAGTGTTTATAAAACAGGGTTTGGTTCATAGTTCTAATTAATCAACTTGATTAAGTCGAGAGCTAAACAGAGGTTGCCACTTAAACAAGAAGATAAAAAACACTGGGCCTTGCCAGAATAGTTTTTAAAATTTATTTAGTGATTTGAAAGGCAAAGTTAGAGAGGAGGAGAGAAAGAGAGGTCTTCTATCCGCTGGTTCACTGTTGTGAGTGGAGGGTCCCAAGGTCATCTTCCACTGCTTTCCCAAGTGTGTTAGCAGGGAGCTGGATAGGAAGTGGAAAAGCCAGGACTCAAACTGGCACCTGTATGGGATTCTGGCTTTGCAGGTGGCGGCTTAATCCACTACACTGCAATGCTGATCCAATAACTTCTTTTTAACTGATGGTAAAAGAGTAGTCATTTTGTTATTACATGTAATAAAGCAAGTACTTAAGACTGTGCCATACAGTTGGTCTATCTGCAGCATATCCACAGAACTATTAACAAAAAAAAGCATTTTTTTTTTCATTTAGTGCAAGTAGAAAGTTTATTTTCTTTATGAGGAATTAACAGAGGAATGATGCCGAAATGAGGTAAAATTGCAACATCTGCATACATACAAAATTTTTCCTTGAAACACTTATTCAGATTGTTGTTAAAGGTATTGATTGTCAGATCAAAGAAGTTACTACTCTAAGTTTGTTTACAGAATCCAGAAAATTCGTTACTTAGGAAGTTTCAAAATGGCAATTGTATTCTAGAGTCATAATTACCAGGAGAAATATGTTCTCTTGACCAAGACCAAGCATTTTGGCAGTGCTAGAATATTGTATATAACCACTGTTTTCAAAGCGTGAACATTTTTTGCAGACAGTGCATTCATTCCTATTGCACTATTTTTGGAAATGTGCTTAACCGCCTTAGAGTACCCCACCTTGTCAAATTAAAATGAATTTAACAATGATAACAAGCTGACCAGTCATTTCCTTATAGCTCTGATATATTCATTCATATGTTTTTGGAAAACTTGGGCCTAGATAAAAATATACATGGGATACACATGGATATGTAGAAGACCTGAGATTGATGAATTGACATTCATTAATATTGAAATAGTAAAGCAAAACTTACAGTGACTTAAAAAGATGTTTTTAAGGACACATTCCTGAACACATGGCCACCTACATGTTCTCTATAGCAATATGTATAATTAATACCAAATTTAGTACAGATGAATACCAGGAGAGACATACAGAGAAAGCATTAAAGCCCATTACAATCTTGAATGAGTCAAAACCTCAAGTATATATAAAAAGCATTGCAATCTTGTATTTAGCTTTACTCTTCTAACATATGTCATAATTAATTTAAAACTATATAAATCCACTTATATAAAAGCATTTTTTTTTCAAGTGGTACAGCTTGGACTATGGCTTTATGCTTGGCTTAATCATTTTTTACCAGTTTAATTTATAAAGCTCGTAATCTTGCCAGCAGGGCTTCAACTTCAGGAACTGATTCGCTTTTAGAAACAGAGCCAAGAAGTTCCATTTCCTTTTTTCTGTTGCTTTCTACATTACAGGCGTCCTTCTTCTCAACTGCCTTGATCCTCCCTGTAGATGTATGAGTGTCTAGATTATAATTAAGCTCCTTGGCGGCTGGAGTCCTTGTTGAGTTGCAATTGATATTGTAGTGTGTACGTGACCCTTCTGTCAACTGCACTTTCTGATTTTCTACGGTAAGGAAGAAAGAAATAGAAAAGTTATCATTGTGATAACCAAGGCCTACACACATTATAAAACAAATTCAAAAGACTCCTAATAAAGTAGATTTAAAATAAAGGCACAGAAGTTAAGAATAAAGTATACATTTCACCAGCACTAGTGCTATTTCCTTTCTCTTTTACACCTTCCGTTTATGCCTGAAATACCCACTACTAGGTTATTATCAGAGTGGTCTCACATTTCATTCAGATCTCTGCTCAACACCACTGCAGTGTAGTGACTTTCCCTGTTCACCCATGTAAAATAGCATTCACCCTTTTCATTGTTCAATACCCTTCCCCCCATCTTTCCTTCGTAGAACTCATGACTATCAGACACATTATACATTTGCTTATCTATCATCTGTCTCTATTTGGATACATGCTTTGAGGCAGCAGGTACATCTCTCTTTTTTAATAATTTGACATATAGACAGAGAGAGAGAGAGCTGCTATCCACTGATTAATTCACTCCCCAGACATCTGCAACAGTTGTAGTGGGGCTGAGGCCAAAGCAGGTAAACAGGAATGCAATACAGAGTTCCAGTATGGGTGGCAGGAATCCAGTTACTTGCGCCATCACCACTGCCTCCTCAGGTCTGCATTGTAGGAAGTTGGCGTCAGGAACCAGAGATAGGTATCTAACCCAGGTACTCTGCTCTGGGAAGCCAGCTCTAGGACATAATTTTAGGGCCTACAATGACCCTGGTGCAAAGTAGGTGACTCAATAAATATTCATTGGATAAAGAAACTATTGCCACATATTATGACCCAAGATAAGCATTAGTTCAAATAATAAAAGGGCACTTCAAAAAGTTCACAGAAAATGGAGTTAAAACATGAATTTATTTTGGAAAAAAAATAAATGAAATCTATACATATGTAAGGTTTTCCAAATGTTCATGGAAAATGTAGATTATGAAAAAAAACTGAACAGATTTAAAAATTTTGCACCAAGAAAACCTTTTAATGTCATTTTCCCACAAGCTTTCTGAAGTACTTTCATAATCAGATTCCTCATTCCTTTGTTCAAAAAGGAAATTAAAGTTTCTAATAAGAATTTTTAAAGTCTATTAAAAATAGTGAATTTAGGAAATTGTCAAAACTCCTTTCAAATCAGAATTATACCAGAATTATACCATAATTCAACTATCAATTATGAGTATATGCATACCTATCCAACTATCAATTATGAGTATATGCATACCTATCCATGCATACATACATGTACACATATACACAAATTTATTCTTTCATTGGTAAATGATGGTGATTCTGACTTACTCAAGCTATAAGCAGAGAGTAGCAATAGCTAATGATGAAATAACTCTGGCTGGTTGACTTTCCCAAAAAGACCTGGACTTTCTATTAATTAAGTGACCCTCATGATGCACATACAGCTTTATGAGTGATCTCTCTCCTAGATCTCTAACTTTTTAAAAACAGACATCTTCAATATTCATATAACCTTGAACAGGGCTTGAAAATGGCTTCAACAAACTTGACATGACATTTAAAGTTTTTTGGTTATTCGCTATTATCCCAATAGTAATGACTTTGGAGCACAAGCAGTCACTCATGACAATGTGTTTTATGTGAGTGCTGAAAATTCCAACCGAAAACAGCTTGTACATTAAAAGGTGGCTGGTGAAGATATTTACTGCACTGTCATTCCCTGACCAGGGGCTTCCCTGTGATGGATGAGTATTTTACACAGTTTCTTGGACAATCTCAACAAATTTTAGAAGTATGATCACCTTTTAGCTGTTGGAAGGAAAATAAATACACTTTTCCTATCAGGTGGGCAATTCTTGCTCAAAAATCAAGATCTAATAGAGAAGCGATTTTCTCTTAGAACAGTTTATGTGCAATAGCTCATTATGTACACATTACATCTGTAGGAAAGAGCACTATGGAACATGATACTCCTATAGTTCCCATGAGTACATAAATTAATTTTTCCCCAGAACCCACCCTGTTGCCCCAAAAACTGTTAAAAACTGCATTTGCAGCTAAGTGCAGATTTTTAGTCACCTTCCTGTTCCGTCCTCCAAATCTTCTTATAGTTACTTATTATTTGATTTTGTCTAAGCTACTCCATCCTGATATTAATAAGAAACCAGTTTATTCTGTTAGAGGGAAAGTCTACTTGAATGTTTGATGGCAGAGAAGAGATTAATTTGGCTAAAATTATGGTCTTAAAATCCGAAATGCATACAAGTACATTTCAAAAAGCTTATGGAAAAAGTTGAATGAAAAGGTAAGTAGTTTGGTTTGGCAACAAAATTTTTTTTTAAATCCATGAAGTTTTTCCATACCATGTATTTTCCATGAAATTTTTGAAGACCCTTTGAATGTGTTTGTGTAGATTGAAATATAAAATTAAGAGTGGTTCAAAAATTCCATGGAAAATGGACATTCTCTTTTAATTCAATTTCTCCACAAATTTTTAAAAGTTCCCTCATAAATATTCCTGTAATTTTTATGTATATACTTTAGAAAAACATTTGAAAGGCCGAGTCAGAGAGAGAGAGAGAGAGAGAGAATCTTCCATCTGCTGGCTCACTCTCTAAATGGCTGTAATGGCTGGGGCTGGGCCATGCTGAAGCCAGGAGTCACAAACTCCATTTAGGTCTCCCATATGGGTCCAGGGGCCCAAGCACTTGAGCCATCTTCCACTGCCTTCTCAGTTGCTTTAGCAGGGAACTGGATCAGAAGTAGCACAGCCAGGACTTGAACTACCTTCACATGAGATGTCGGCATTGCAGGCTGCAGCTTCAGCCACTGCGCCACAATGCCAGCCCCTTTATTGAGTCCTGTTCACTAAAGTGAAAAAGCGCATGGGATTTTATGGTAAACCTCAGATGAAATCCAAGTTCTGCTGCTTGGTTTTAACAGGTTACATAACCTTTCTAAATCTCAGGTTCTAATAGCTACAAGGAGTGGCTGTGAGGAGTAAGGGAAGTACTGTGGTTGACAATTACTTAGAGATAACCTTCTTCTCTTTCTTCTTTGAAACTGTCTATGGGAGGCATCTTTCACCCAAGGTCTAAGGCTTATTCATAGGCTCTGGCCTCTCTGTATCAGTCAAGGCTGAAATGCCATCTTCTGAATGGCTCGTATTTATATAGCAGCTTTATTTACACAGCTTTTGTTGCCTTTTAAATGTTACCACCATCATAGATTGAGGGGTGAAAAAAAAAAACAAAAGGAGGTTAAAGTAATTTGTTTATAGACTCAGTCGTTGACTAAATCAGTGGCTAAAGCCAAATACAGTCTCTACATACTGAGGCTGTCTTTAAGAAAATTGAAAAGCTTCTTGCCAAACAAAAGTGCTAAGTAATTCACAGCTAACTTTCGCAATAATGATGTCCTGTACTTCAACTTCAGAATGCTTTCTGGCATGTTGAATCCTCACAATAACTTTATAAAGCCGACAGTTTACCTATGCAAAATACACTACCACAGGATGCCCAAGGGAAGACGCAAGCTTCTCTTCTTTCCTAGTCTCACTTTAATTCATGACTATGAACTTCAAGCACAACATTGATCCTATCACAATTCTCTGTTTTCCTCTCTTTTTCAAGCCTCCAACAGGTCCTCCCTTCCCTACATTCATAGAAGCAAGCGGATGAGAATTCCCACAAGCAACCATCCCCTCACCGTGTATTATCTACCTGGTATGTGTGTGCACACACATACACACACATATGCTCCTTCCACATCAGGACTGCTCAAGCTCTGGTGAGCACCAGAGGTTACTCTTGCTTATTTATGAAGGGCCATCCCTTGCGCATCCTTCTCTTTACTGCGGGTGCACAGTTTTCCTTCGCCATGTGATCATTCCCTCATTACAACAGACAGGTTGCATAGAAGAAAAAACAAAACCTTCATTTGTCTCCACATCCTGCTTTAGCGACTACCTCAATTCTACGGCTCATTTTATAACAGAACATCTTGAAAGCATGGCCCACACCTATTTGCTCAATGTTTTTCTTCTCACTTTTGTTTTGAGCCCACTACAATCCTGCTTCCCTGTTACTCTTCTGAAACTGTTCTTGTCAAGGTCACTAATGAACTGCATGCTGCCAAAAAACAAGGATTGCATAGCCATATGGATAACTCAGTCCACTTCTATTCCATCTGTACCAGATCTGAGAATGAAATGCCTAGCACAGCCTGGGTTTCTCTTTTACTCCTTGGTCACTGAATTTCTACAGAGGCTTGCGTGAGCAGCAATGGATAGGCCAATGTAAACAAGACCATTTCTACCCTTTTGAGAAAACTCAAAAGTAGCTGTGGGCTAGCTTTAGGGACCAAAGGCTAAGAGAAAAACCAAGATGATATTTAACACCTCTGAGGTTTCAGGTGAAGAATCTTTCATGAGAAACAACATACAAGATAAAATAAAAAAACAAACAGGCCATTCTTGAGATGACTGAAGAAATAAAACAGAACATTTACAAGGGGTCCTTTGGGGATGAGTTAATAGCTCTGCTAGAAATTCCTAGATAACAACTCTTCTTTCCAGATGCTTGAATTTCTCTTCCAGCTCCCCAACACTCCCTATCTTGATCCCCAGCCATGGGAGACCAAAACTACGCAACTCTGGGAGTCACATCTTAAATTGTGGAGCAGATAAATGAAGTTGGTTAAAGGAGTCACCTGTTCCACTGCAACTGGAGAAAATGATTCTAGGTATAAGAGACTCCCAAGTTGGAAATTTACTTCATACAGAAATCTTATTATGATATTGGTACAATGCTACAGGTGTCTTCTGCCATTATTGTTATTTTTTACTTATTACTTGTGACTTAGTATAAGGTAAATTGAAGAACTAAATTCCATGCAAAACCATGCATTTAGTTTCCAAATTGGTGACTTCCACATGATAGGGAGATGATATGGCTCTGTAAGTCATAGAGAGCTCTACATAGATGTTGAGAGGTTTAAATAAACTGTAATTTGACA